TTGAACCTTATTGAGGGACTTAATAATTTACAACCATTAGATTAGTTGTTGACTCCATCTAAAATTGAAACTTACAGTTAATCTAATGATTGTATTGATATAACATCATTAGATTCCTAAATAAAATTCTCAAATAAAGTCCCTATAACATTGCTCTTGCATTAAATAATAATACGAAGGACTTGACTATGGTGCAGCCAAAAAAATTTTTGGTACCATACCTAAAAAATTTATTATTTCAAAGGATATTTTTACAACATTTGTGGGTCATTTTACAACCAAAATATTTACCATTTTTGTGGTTAATTTACCACTTTAATGAGTGTTTTTATCATTATTGTGGGTATTTTTATTACATTTGTGATAACTATTTTTATTATGTTTCTCAAGTACAAAAAATATTATTACTTTTGTAACTGATTTACTACATTTGTGAGTGTTTTTATAACATTTGTGGATGTTTTTACTACTATTATGATAAATATTTTTATCATTTTTTTGGGTATCACAACAGTGGTAAAACTATCCACAAATACGATAAAATCTACCACAAACGTAGTAAATTTTTGTATAATATCGAAAACCTAATAAGATGTACCGTAGTCTACTCCTAATACAAATTTTAATTTTTTACGCCCTATATTTACTCCTAGGCATATTCATCGGAGGATGCAATAATGAAAATTTGAGGCCGTCAACGCTCAACTCATAGAAGATCGACCAAGGCAAAGTGATCATACCCCCCAACCAACAAAACAAAACCCAAAAGGCTGAGAATCCAAGGAGTCGTACTTGCCCGCTGGCTCGCTGTTGCACTGTGCTCAACGACCAATCTCTTTGTAGCAGGGGCATGTTGGTTTCAGTGTAATGGTAGGTTTGATCAGGGGGGTAAAAAAAAAATAGACGGATGAACAGTGAGAGTGCCATATTTACTATTTTTTAATGAAAGAATTATTATTTTCCTCTATGTATTCTATAAGGGAGATGAAAAATAAGAAATATTAATTTTTTTGTGTCTGGTAAGATAAAAAAAATATGTTTTTTATTTTTTATTTTAAAAATATTTTGCAGAGTTAGAAGGAAAGTTCATCCACTCATTTTTCCATTATTCTTTACCAAATATGATATTTTATCCATCTTTCAAATTTTTCATACTTCTAATTTTTTATCATTCCATTTTTTTGTTATACCAAACGAAACATAAATATTCATCGTAACAGTTTGATCATNCTTTAATGAGTGTTTTTATCATTATTGTGGGTATTTTTATTACATTTGTGATAACTATTTTTACCATGTTTCTCAAGTACAAAAAATATTATTACTTTTGTAACTGATTTACTACATTTGTGAGTGTTTTTATAACATTTGTGGATGTTTTTACTACTATTATGATAAATATTTTTATCATTTTTTTGGGTATCACAACAGTGGTAAAACTATCCACAAATACGATAAAATCTACCACAAACGTAGTAAATTTTTGTATAATATCGAAAACCTAATAAGATGTACCGTAGTCTACTCCTAATACAAATTTTAATTTTTTACGCCCTATATTTACTCCTAGGCATATTCATCGGAGGATGCAATAATGAAAATTTGAGGCCGTCAACGCTCAACTCATAGAAGATCGACCAAGGCAAAGTGATCATACCCCCCAACCAACAAAACAAAACCCAAAAGGCTGAGAATCCAAGGAGTCGTACTTGCCCGATGGCTCGCTGTTGCACTGTGCTCAACGACCAATCTCTTTGTAGCAGGGGCATGTTGGTTTCAGTGTAATGGTCGGTTTGATCAGGGGGGTAAAAAAAAAATAGACGGATGAACAGTGAGAGTGCCATATTTACTATTTTTTAATGAAAGAATTATTATTTTCCTCTATGTATTCTATAAGGGAGATGAAAAATAAGAAATATTAATTTTTTTGTGTCTGGTAAGATAAAAAAAATATGTTTTTTATTTTTTATTTTAAAAATATTTTGCAGAGTTAGAAGGAAAGTTCATCCACTCATTTTTCCATTATTCTTTACCAAATATGATATTTTATCCATCTTTCAAATTTGTCATACTTCTAATTTTTTATCATTCCATTTTTCTGTCATACCAAACGAAACATAAATATTCATCGTAACAGTTTGATCATGTCACATGTTGATGATTAAAAATAATTGAACAAGATGAATTCAACTTTTTTATATTAATCAGATCCACTTATTTGATGATAAAAAACGGTATCACATCATTTAAAATGAAAACTTGATAAAAAAAATTGATAAACATAACATTATCCCTCATGGAGTATGTAATATAATATATTCTTGAGATTGCGAACTGGACTGTTTCAATGAGCCGATCATGTGTATTATCGAGGACTCGAAGCAATAGAACGTAGTGCGTGTGTTCCCCTCCAATAGAACATTTGCGCCAAACCAAGATCTAAAGTCGGCAAACACACATAAATCAATGTTTTCAGATTGATTAGAATGTTGTGCTTGAGTGACAACTCTNAAAAATTGATAAACATAACATTATCCCTCATGGAGTATGTAATATAATATATTCTTGAGATTGCGAACTGGACTGTTTCAATGAGCCGATCGTGTGTATTATCAAGGACTCGAAGCAATAGAACGTAGTGCGTGTGTTCCCCTCCACTAGAACATTTGCGCCAAACCAAGATCTAAAGTCGGCAAGCACACATAAATCAATGTTTTCAGATTGATTAGAATGTTGTGCTTGAGTGACAACTCTACATTGGATTGTTCTAAACCTTTAGAATTGTTTTTAAATAAGTGTGTAATCATATTTTGTAGATCTACTATTAATACACAATAGATGATCTATTGTTAAAATATGGATGGGATTCAATCCAAAACGAAGTAATGCTAAATTTTAGAAATTTCTTTTAAGTTATAATAGTTACTAAGTATGAATGTAAATAAAAATTGACCAACCACCCAAACCATGTCATGCCATCAACTTGTAGGAGATGACATCTATTGTGTTGGTCATTTTGATGATCAAGAACAACATTTGAGGTGATGTGTTGTGATAATTCAATCGTATAGTTTTTTTTTTTTTTTTTGGCAAAATTTCAATCATACTCTTTTTAGTTTAATATATCTTCAACAACAACTCTTCTATTGTCAAAAATATCAGTGACATCATTTTTAATTTATATTTAAACATCACTGGCACCCCCTATAATTAAACTAAAATTTATATCCAAAATTAATTATCTAAAATACTAAAATTGCCCCTACATAAACCTCAATCAATCCTTTACATAAAATTTGATTAAAATTGGAGTTGATTAAAATTCATTTTTCACATATTAAAATTCAAGCGGATTAAAATTTATTTTTTTAAAATATTGAAATTTGAGTCGATTAAAATTCGATTCGAATTGATTAAATTTTATTTTTTTATGTATTAAAATTCAAGCCTATTAAAAGTCTTTTTTTACATATTAAAATTTAAGTCGATTTAAGATCTACTTGAGTTGTTAGTCCTAATTAAAATTCTCTTCAAGTCGATTAAAATTTATATTTTTTTTATTTATTAAAATTCGATTCAAGTTGATTAAAATTTATTTTTTGCGTATTAAAATTTGAATAGATTAAAATTTATATTTTTTTTATGTATCAAAATTTGGGCAGATTAAAATTTAATGCAAATTCATTAAAATTTGATTTGAACATTGAATAGAATTTTAATCGAGTCAAATTTTAATACAAAAACAATAAATTTTAATTAGCTTAAATTGAATTTTAATATATCTATCTAGAGGGGGTGTAGATAAAGTTTTTTCTAAAATATATCATGGTCAATTTAATAAAATTGCATTATAATTAACATATTTAATCTGACAAGGAGTTTTAGTGAAGATTCAAAAAATAGAAGGAGTGTCTTTGAAGATATAATAATCTAGAAGGAGTGTTACTGAATATTTTCTTTTTTGGTACTATGATCAGGGGTTGCATACGCGCACCTCAAATAATCTTCTTCCTAATTAGATCAAAAATAGGTCATCCACGTGAATATTATAAAATTTATTAGAGATAAACTTTTTGTTACCTAACTAACCCTACGGAAGTTGTCAAATTTTGAGATCAGTACATCTAAGTTTTATAACTCATCCATATCTTTACTAGATTACCCCTTCGGTTTAATTGAATAGTGCACTATCAAAAACTATCTCTCTCAAAGTTTACTCTAGCCTCATCTGGTTGGTAATTCCTATTTGGAGAGTATTGTATGCACCAACCTCTCAACACGTATAATAATCAATCAAAACTCGTACAATAGATAGGGAATCGAACCCACACCGAAAGCTTAGTTATGGTTCGTCAAGTTAACAGAGGCTTGTTCTACTAACAAATTATGTTGGCTCCTAAAGTGTTGATTTTAAAAAATTATCAAATTTTAAATTTAAGACGTCTGAATTTATAGAACATCTTTATCTCCCTTTCGATTCCATGGCTATCATTTTCTGAAAAAGGAGAGCTGAAATGTTGAACAACCCAACCACCCACCGCTCTATGAATATTGACGGCTCACGGCACAGGGGTATGATATAATTTGTAGGCGCATCAAAGGTTTAAAAAGCAAAAGAAAAAGAAAGGTAAAGTTTTCAACTTTTGCAGCTTTCCCTCTCTTTCTCTCTCTTTGTTATCTCACATTCCTCTCAAGAAAAGCCATGCTTTGTGTCAAAAAGAGCAAAACCCACTCAATGGAAAGGTAACTTGTTTTCGTAGGCTCGTCAAGCTTTTTTTTTTTTGTTTGCTTTTGCTTTGAGTGGAAGTTTAGAGTCAAATGTTTCGCTTAATGACAAGTGAAATACATATTTTTAACCTGATTGATAACTCTAAAATAAAAAATATAGGCTCTTATTTTTTTGGAACCATGCTTAATTGACATGTATGTTTTGTGGATAATTATATACATACAAAGTTTAAGTTGTATGCACCGAGTCTAAAAAAATGAATGACAGAGAACAGGTTTCAATTACTATGAAAGAAAAAGACATTATTTGGTAAAAACAAAGAAGGTGGATATGATACCTTTTATCTCATTAAAATCCTAAAGTAGTTAATTACATGGGAAGAGAAAACGACAAACAGAATACAATCACCAAAAAACTAAAGGACATCAACTAAAAAGAAGTCAAAAATAGAGAAAAGTTTGTTCTTTATCCCTCAACTTTACTTCATTTTCTATGTAGCTCTGGAGATGAACTTGAAATGAAGCTTTACACCAGTAAAGATTTTTGAAGCACAATAGAATGAATCACCACCTTTTCTTCCTTGATTTCCTATCCTCTGTCTGCCTTATACCAGACTAGCCATCTCTGCTTTCCTCATAGTTTGAAAACTTAGATAAAATGTTTTCTTCAAGTGGGACATGACCCATATTTTGGGGCTTCTACTAAGTCAAATTTCTGGGCTCCAAATGCTACTGGGGATTCATAATTCTTCTTCATGCAATGACCTCCTCTGTCTATAACACCACAGTTTGTACTAGTTGTCTCAGTGCAGCCATTGATGACCCCAAGCTCCACACAGCATTAATCAAGGAAAAATTTCTACATTTTGCTCTGGAAATCTCATAATCCGAGAATGATATAGTAGACTAGAGTGATTGGTAAGGCTATCAGCATCCCAAAAATGACCCTGCAATTCAAACAAATCAAAGATATTTTGGTTAACAAAAATAATCATTGGTATAAAAGTTTAACTCAAGAAAAAAAGGGGTAAATATCATTTATCACCCTTGAAAAAAAGGAGTACTTATAACTAAGTAAAGCGTAGGAATCAATTCCGTCCAATTCCTTCAACACAAACAAAAAAGTCCGAAAAGTAAAAGCTTTATGGACAAATAACAAGTTTCGTGGGTTTTTCTAAGACCAATTGCTACGTCTTACTTTGTTTAATGGACTAAATGAAAACAATACAAACTGAGGGAGTCTATAATATTTAGTATAAGAAAATTGTGTTGGGTGAGAGCTTTTCTTACGCAGTGCTGAGAATGGCTGGATGAACATTGTACTCTTTGGCAAACACAAATGGAACAATCCCTTGTGGTAGTGCTGCCTGTTGGGATAAGAATATGTGAGAGAACTTCAAAGTGGAACTGGTTTCTAACACATGCCAGCATGCGTGCAAGTGCAATGCATCTCAACATAAAATATGGCATATATATGTTATTCCATACATCAATCATACACACCATTTTATAAACAAGATATTGGTGAACTCCTAGTTCAGCATTAAATATAGAAGTTAGATATTTCATTAAGGTATATGGTACTAGCGAGTGTCTACAAATCAACCACTCCAAATAGACGTAAAATTGTTTATCACTTGCGTTTCTTAAACTTTTGAACAAGTACAGCCTTTTACAATGATTAGAAATCCTGACATAAAAGATGATTGTTTAACTTATGCTCATCTATTAAAATAAAGTTTACACTAATAACAAAAAGTTTCTTGCCTAACACCAAGTTTGGGAGAGTAAGTATTATATCGTCTTAGTCAGTGTTCGGAGAGACTATTTCTCAAATTCGAATCTATGACATATCGCTGTAGTGGATGACTAGTTGCTATCCCTACAAGTCGAACTTTGAATTGCACAACTAAAAATATAGACCAATTTCTAAAAACTTTAGAAAAGTTATTTATCCTTATTTATGTTTTTTTTTTAAATATGTAGGAAAGTTACCATTAAAAGAAAGATGATTAAGATGGGTGTGCATAAAAAAAAAGATGACCAACATGTAGTTTATTAAATAATTAAGAAAGGATGACAGATAAACTCTAATCTTGTATAGATAAGGATAGCTCGTTATTAAGAAAGAGAATAATTACCTGCACAATTGCGACATGGAGGAGGGTACCGCGGAGGCCGACGGCGATAGAAGCTGCGGCCATCACCGCCGGGCCGGTGAGGAACCTGACGGCCATGGCGAATGCAGCCACCGCATTTCCACATGCGATTATCTTCGGTTGAAGCGCCATGAACAGACCTTTCATTGATACAACATCCCAATCAGATGATAAACCGAAAAATATTAATCCAATCCAATCTCAACTACCTTCGATTGTGTTCCATCAATTTAGGGCATCTATTAGCCACCGATGCCCACCGCTTTGGGACCGCAAGCGACAACGCCGCCGGCCCCACTTGTCGGGTGGTCAGTACTTTTATAGTTGGTGATAATAAATTGGGACTATGATATAAAAAGAGCGGTGGCCGAGAATATTCTACTAAACCTTCTTTAAAAAAAGAAAAAACTTAGTATACCTGTCTCTTTTCGTAGAGATGTATATAATCTTATTTCGCATGTAAATAAATAATTTTCTTATCTCCAACACGGTTATATCTAGATTAATGTTCAAATTATCTGGTAAAACCCAGTAACAAAATATGATTACTCACCTAAGCTAAACATAGCCATTCCAAGACCAGCATCAGATAGTATAGAGATTGATTTCTGTATTATTTTGGGCATAACCACATGCCACCTACAAATTGAACAAAATTAAAGATGGATTAACATACAAAAAATGTCGGGCGAATTGTATTTTGCATCCTGAAAAATAAAAAAATAAAAAAAATATTTAATTTTTACCCACAAAGATAAAAAAATTTTATGTTGCACTTTCAATTAATTAAAAATATTATTATATGATCATTATATTCTCTTCTATTGCTCATTTCGTCAACGTCAATTGAGGGTCTTGATGTTCACGAAATAAGCAATGGAAGAATCATATCATAACACTATTATTACATTGAAGGTGTAATATAGAAAATATAATTTTTAAGAGTACAAAGTGAAAATATTTAAATCTTTTGGGTACAACATATGATTTTCCCAAAAATGTTTAATAAACTTTGGGTGCCTATTTGTTAAGTTCTTGAATAGTTACCGATATGAGATTAAAGCCCAAATGAGGCCAATGAGGCTTGAATACGTGTTGGGGTTTCGGATTAGTTTACGCCAAACCATGATCAAGATCAAACGGGTCATAACGCTCGCCGGAGGCATCTGTTTTCCGATACCGGTATCCTGAACTCCGGCGACTTTTGGGTGTAGCTCAGCAGTAGAGCTGGACCCAAGCTTAGACAGTCCAATGGGTCCCTCCTTTTCTCTCTCCTCATCACCATCTTTCCCACCACCACCAAAGCTGATGTTCTCACCACGAAAATCCCCAGTTTCCAGAACAGCTATCAATTAACAACCAAAACCCAGAAAAATATTAAACAAATTCAATTGATAATCAGTAAGTGTGAACTGTGACGTGAACTTTTACCTTTGTTTTCCCCATTTTGAGGGCGATCAGAAATCAACATTCTGATTTCCTTGGCACCAGGATCGGAATGTTCGCCGACACCGACGTCTGTGCCTCCGAACACGTGAAGACCACCGCCTTCCGATACCGGCGATGCACTTGAGCTCCACACAAACATGTGGAGCTCCTTACCTTCATTGTTTGCTTTACTGATCTGTTGCTGAATCTGTGGCTGCTGATGTTGAGATTGTGGTTGAGTTTTTGCACCTTTAGTAACTGTAGAAGAAGCAATTTCAGGGTTCGGTGCCGGATAAGAAGTTGCCACCGGCGCTGCTGGGTAGAACCCGAACCTCGGAGAGGCTATTGGCGGACCTCCGGTTGTGCAATTCTCTTCAAAATTTGAAGGCCTAGGCGTCGGACCTCTAGATGACTGAACGGAGTACATATCGGCGGGGCCAAAATTCGACAGCCTTCCCGGGAAACCCATCAGTGAGTAAAAATCTGTATGGTTGAAATTGGACCCTCTAGGTGTTGGGTTTCTCGATGAGCTCAAGCTGTATATCTCAGCACCGGTGAGGTTCGACGGCCTAGGAGTCAATGCCGAGAGAGAGCACTGCCCCAGACCCAGAGACCTCCGGGAGGCATTAGACTTCCTCACCGTCACATGAAGCTTCCCATCATCACCAATCTCAGCGTCCGTTTCAAGAAAATCTTGGCCATCAAGCGAAACAACATCAGACTCAACCTTGAAAGACACAATCGACGCCGCAGTTTCTGGAAATTGCTCCATTATCAGCATCTTCGCACCACGGTACTCGAACAAGAAGAGCAAGAGAGTATACCAAATGATGCACTGTAAAACCACCACTTGAACCATTAGTGAGCCGGAGTAGTCGCCGTACATGGCGATCAACAGAGGAATACCCATGACCAGAGTGTTGGGTAGTGTTGAGAGAGAGAAAATAGTTATCATCCAATCAAGAGTTCCGTTCTTGGTGAAGTTTGTCCAGAAGAAGAGAACGACGAGCATGATGATTTTCTGGAGCGTATCGGCGGCAATGAATCGAAAGTTCATGGCGTACGGGTCATTGATGGAGATGAAGTGAAAGGACAAGAGAGGGACGGCGAAAATGGCAACGAATCGGTTGATGCCGGAACACTGGTCGGGGGTGAAGATTTTCCACCACCGGACGGAGCCGTAGGCTAAGATCATGGCGACGTAGAGAGGGATTACCGCCGTCAAGACCACATAAAGGTCGTGGCCGGTGATCATGGTGAGTGGTGAAGTGAAGATCTGGTTTGGGGGTAAATTTAAGAGGAGTAGAAGGGCAAAATGGGGAGAAAAAAGCCGTTATGTAACTGACTACAAGGGGATATTTGTCTTCTGCTGCAACTCTGATTCAAAGAGGACTCCGGTCTATAGAAAGAGTGAGAGTGTGTGTGTGAGTGTCTGTGAGAATGAGTTTAGGAAGAGAGTGAAATTACAAGTAGTGTAAGCATGAAAGATTATATAGGAGAGAGAGTGGGTGAATGAATGATTGTGCTGCTGGGTCGGAACTTTGGGATTGGAACAAAGAAATGGTAACAAAAAATAAAAACAAAAAAATATAAAATATATGTATATACATTTTGTTGTTTATTTTGTTAAAATTTATTCCATTGAAATTGATAGAACGAGTAAAAGAAATTAATTGAAAAGTTATATTGCAACATTTTTACTATATGGAGGATAAAATATAAAAAAAAAATAATTTTTAAAAATACAAAAGTGAAAGTTCTTAAATTTTTTAGGGGGTAAAATATAATTTGCGCATAAATTTTTAGTAACTAAAAGTGAAATTAAAATCTAACCCTCCAAGTTGGGTGTTGGGACCTGTGGAAATGAACTTGGGTTTGGGAGGGTCTACCAACTATGGTTAAGTCAAGTACACATGGGTGTCTATATTTACATCTGGCATGGGTAGTTTGGTGACGTGGAGACTTTTTGCCCTTTCATCTTTCTTGCTTTTGTCAAAGTTTTGAGCTGTGAAAGAGTAAATCTGAAAGGGTGTCATGTTGTTTTGACTGCAAAAAAGTCATGGGGATACTTACTCTCTATGACAGCCATTGAATTGAAGAAGTGAGTAATATTTTAGAAGAAATTAGAAGTTGAAGACATCCCAAACCGGTAGCAGAGAACTTTACCTGCAATCCATACAATAGCACGATCAGAATTGTGTAAAAGTTCAATTGTATCATAGCACGATGTCCACAAAAATTATACGAGATTTTAATCATTCTTAAGAATTATCGATTATATTATCACTAATGCACCGGATTCTATCAAAACTTCGCAGTTAAGCGTACTTGGACGAGAGTAATACTATGATGGGTGACCCCCTGAAAAGTCCTCATATTACACCCTTTTAAAAAAAAATATATATTATATACTATTTTTTATTAAGGTTTACTAGTTACATCTACCTAAGTTATTTTTTGTTTGACACACATTTCATAAGTACTTTTCATTCAGTCCAAACAATATTCTAGAAATGTGCTGATGGATCATGGATGCAAACCTAACTCTGTATCTTTGAAAAAAAATTTGTGTTCTAAAGCCTTTCATGTCTAAACTAGAGCTCTCCATGTACAAGTTTTGTTGTTTATGCTACCATCCCCAACTTTGTTCAAAGCTTTTGCCTTATATGTGGATAAAACATAAAAGTTGAAACTACAAATTTTTGTATGAATCTTCTGTCAATATAAGAACGAGAAAAAGTCAAATATACGCAATAAGAAATTCACGTGCAGGGACGTTTCCATCACGCATACCCATGACACTTAGATCCCATAGAACAAACTTACTATTTTTTGTCAAGGATCGTCATCTACCTTATGCATTGATGTTTTTACATTTTCAGAAAATGTATATCAACTTCTTTGAAGTTCCTTCTTTCCATATATATGGAGCTGACACATATTGTTCTTCCGAGAATGTTTCTTTTATTTGGGCATTGCATATTTTCTTCTAGGACAAAGAACAAGATTCTTCACTCAATACAAAAAGCAACAAAAATAGATACATTACTTCTTGACAATTTTATGATATATTACGATGTACAAAAAATTATGGTAGAATTTTCACTTGATTATTCAAGAATTTTCCTAAATCATGGGGTCGAAGATTTCTATTGCGACAATTTTCATTAATTTCTTTCTTAACAAGATTCAGATATAACAGTTAAAATTAGATTTATGGTTGTTGGACATTTCTACTCCCATTAAGTAATGTTTGCATCAATTGTTGTAAATCCATATCAACACTATTTGACTAAAACTAACTCTAGTGATTATGTTGTTGTCTGTGGTATTCCTATTATTGTAAAATCACTTTATTAAAATTTTTTGACTTCAAACATTTAGTGTATAACAAAAAAGTAACAATCAAATGCGAAACAGTTACACAGATAATTGAAATAGTTACAAAAAAATTAATAAAATAATTATATTAGTCTTAACGAAACAGGAATTGTTATTGAACTTTAAGTAGATCAAGGTTAGTGTTTAATACTATGTCCTAAAAACAGATTTCGCCCCTACACACGGTGCTTATGAAATATCAAGTGTTTGCCTCCTAGGATACAATGATCTTTATAGAAGTAGAAGTAGCATTCCAATCTACTCATCCAACGAACCAGAAATTGTGTTGTGTACTTTCCAAATACAGACTGTCTTAATGCCGAAATGCAATGCACTAATATTTGGCTTAACTCTGAACATGAATTGAATGAATGAATGAATGCAGAATTGTAATAAGAGAATTATGGGGACTTTTCAGACAACCACTATACTAAAAGACAACCCAGAAGACAAATGCAAGCCAATACACACCATTTGTGTAACTGTTTTCTTTGAACATACACAACTCAAAATTTTGGACTGATAGAAAAATACCCTTTGAACCAATACGAACAAGTACCAAAATTTAATTTCAGTTCAAAAATTCTCGCTCAATTAATTAAACGAATTTTCTCAAAAAAGATAGGACTTGGTCTAAACCACATATATACCCAAGCCCGGCCCGGTCAGGTCGTGGCGTGGCGGGCGGGCGGCGTGCGTGTGTGGTAGAATTGAAGTTATGTAGGTGCTCGCTCCGCTCATAAAATTGTGGTACCCCTTAAGGCCCAATCTCATAGATCAAACTTGGCATATATATTATTCTTCAACCAAATGTTGGATTTGTGTCAAATCTCACATTGCACAATCTTTATTTTCACATTTTAATAGGGTCACTTTGTAGCCTATTTTCTTATTCATTTCTTACTCAATTTAAGCAAACGAATATACTAAATTATTCTCCTCACGGAATAGAATATAAACCCGCGAAAGTTTACTCGAAATAACAAATGGGTCTCACTTTAATTTAGGCTCAAAGTTGACCAAGAATTCAGTTTTTACACTTAAGTAACTATTTTGAAAAATTATTTTTGGTCCAACAATCCCCCACATAAATGAAAATTTGGTTGTTAGTATGCAAATGATAATGCTGACACACTATAGAGAGTACAATACATCTTTGGAAAGATCGTGCATCAAGATAGGTACCTATTGGCATTGAACCTTCCCTAGTGAAAGTCCCTTGGACTTACCAGCTAAATAGTGATCTTGAACTATTAAGCTATTTGATAAATCAAATCGAATAGACTTCACACAGTCTCTTCCCTAACACAATTGGTTCTCATGATTGTGTTCATTTTGGCCTCGAATAAATCTTGGTTTTTGTTAGTGTTTTGGAGAATTCAGTGTTTATAAATTCTCACAGAAGCAGCCTCTTCACACTCATATAGGTGACTCCTATTATGAATATCTTATAATATCTCAATTGGATTTTCCAAGGTATAAAGGTCATTAAAAGTATAGCTTATCCTAATAAACTCTGCAAGCAGCACTAGGTTATCATAAAAATAAGTAACATAAATTATCTCCTTAGTGCTTCTTTTGAATCACACATCATTCGGTTTTCTCTTTGAACCTAGATCTTGAGATCTTTAGTCAACTACGTTGGATTTCCATTAAGGTGACTTTTATGTCATAAATTTTAAACTCATTCCCCTCGATGTGAAATTTATTTGCTCTCTCGTCAAACCTTTAATAAGTTAATTCGCTAGATTATCATTTGATTTTATATAATTAACAAAAATAATCTCATTTGAGAGCAATTGTCTAACGGTATTATGTCTACAATGTATATGTCTAGATTTGTCATTATACATGTCACTCTATGCCCTACTAATTGCAGATTGGCAATCACAATGTATACAAGTTGCTGGCACGGGTTTAGGCCATATTGAAATACCATCTAGAAATTAGCGAAGGCACTCAGCTTTCTCTCCTGCTTTATCTAAAGCAATAAATTTAGATTTCATTGTGGATCTAATAATACATGTTTGCTTAGAGGATTTTCAAGATACAGCTGCATCACCAAGTGTATAAACATAACCACTTATAAATTTTGTATCCTTCATATCAGATATCTAGTTTGTATCACTATACCCTTCAAGTACAATTGGATATTTTGTATAGTACAATCCAAAATTCAGGGTATATCTTAGATATCTAAGAATCCTAATAATTTCCTTCCAAATGGTATACTTCTAGATTACTCGTATATCTACTCAATTTACTAACTAAGTATGTTATATTCGGCCTAGTGCAGTTTATGACATATATTAGACTGCCAATGATTCAAAAGTATTCCAATTGTTATATGTTTTGTCCAATATTTTTAGACAAATAAATATTTATATCAATTAGCGTTCAAGCAATGTTGCTTTCATCTTTGTCGAACAAATCAAGTATTTTCTCAATATAATGTGATTGAGATAATATATATTCTACCAAATGTTCTGGAAATTTTAATTCCTAGTATAACATTTGCAGTACCCAAATCTTTCATATCAAACTTAATGGACAACATTTTCTTGATAGCTGTAATAATATTATTATTACCACCTAAAATAAGCATATTATCCACATATAGGAAAACAATGACATATTCATTATTTATGTCTTTGACATATACACATTTATAACGCTCATTAATTGTGAAACCAATTGACATTATTACCTTGTCAAATTTTTAATGTCATTATTTGGGTGTTTGCTTTAAACCATAAAGTGATTTAACAAGTGTACACACCTTCTTCTCTTGACTTAGAGAAATGAACCCTTCAGCTTGGTCCATATAAATTTTTTTATTTAAGTCACCATTTAAGAAAGTTGTTTTCACATCTATTTGGTATATCTCAAAATTATGCAATGCTACAATAGTTATGAGCATACGAATAAACACTATTCTCGTGACAGGAGAATAGGTATCAAAGTAATCAAGACCTTTATTTTGTTTGTAACATTTATCTATAAGTCTAGCCTTGTACTTATCAATTAATCCATTAGGTTTCGTTTTCCTCTTGAAAATCCATTTATACCCCAATGCTTTACTCCTGGAGGAAAATCTACTAACTCACATGTGTGATTTTGTATGATAGATTCAATTTCACTATTTACAGTTTCTTTCCACATAGGTGTTTCAAGAGTGGATATCGCTTCATTAAAACTGAGGCTTATTTTCTAAAAACCATGATAGAAAATCTGAACCATAAAACTTAGAAGTCCTTGCCTTATTACTGTGTCTAAGTGTCTCTTCATTTTTTTCATTTATAGACTCATGGTCTACATTACTAGTCGTAGTATCATGAGTTCTTTTAAGAGAACTCTCATCACATGCATTTTTATTAAGAAAGACATTTTCAAAAAATGATGCATTTCTTGACTCAATAATTGTATTGACATGTATATCAGGAATATCATATTTATGCACGAGAAAATAATATGCACTGCTATTTATTGCATAACCAATAAATATACAATAAATAGTCTTAGATCCTATTTTTATTTTTTTAAGAATAGGAACTATCACCTTAGTCAAACACCCCCACACTTTTAAATATTTCTAAGAATAACTCCGACCTTTATATAACTCATAAGGAGTTTTGTTTAACTTCTTGTGGAATAATTTATTCAAAATATAGTTTACTGAAAGTAAAGCTTCCCCTCACAAGTTCTAAGGTAACCCTAAACTAATCAAGATGACATTCATCATCTTTTTCAATGTTCTATTTTTTTGTTCAGCAATTCTATTTTGCTGAGGTGTATAAGGTACAGAAGTTTGGTGAATAATATCATATTCTTGACAAAACCTATCAAAAGGTGCGTCATATTTACCACCTCAATCACTTCTTATTGCCTTAATCTTTTTGCCAAGTAGATTTTTAACCTCATTCTTATAATGCATAAATTTTTTCAATGCTTCATATTTACTCCTTAGCAAATATACATAGCAATATATTGTGCAATCATCAATAA